AATAATAATCAATCCTTTTACAATATCAAAATGAGAATGCTATGAAACAGTATTTTTTATTTTTTTTTTTTTAAGTTTGCAAAGAAACAATGATTTTTTTAATATTATAATAGGTTACAAAAGTACTCTTCATGAACAAACCCTCAGTCTTATAGCATTGTTACTTTATAGCATAATACAATAATACAGTATAATTCTGCTAACAAGCCCACCGCCGCCGAGCGGTAGAGTAGCTGAACGCAGGTAGTTTGGTCCGAGGTTCGAATCCCGCGAACGAGCTGGCCGGCGTTTTCGTGGATTTCCCCATGTGTAACGTGTATACGAGCCGGTTTTCCTTAGAAAGTCCTCACTTAGGTCACCAGTTTTAAAACGTATTAAAATTACACACACACACACATACACACACACACACACACACACAAAAAAAAAAATCTGAAAGCTTTCAGATTTTATATTACTCCCAAAGGGCCATTTTTTAACGTTTTGCGTGTTACCTTTATTTATTAATATCATGTTTTTCGCACTTAAACCATAAAATTCAATTCAACAGCAATATCATATAATTTTAAAAAAAGCATATTTTTAGAATTTCCGATACATAGTCTCGCGCGCTAGAGATGAAAGTGTTTTTTGCCGATGCTCGCTTTGAAATCATTGGGTTTCTTAATCAAAAACTCATAAATGCTTACAAAAATATGATATATGAAATGGATAGTAATACAAATTCCCAGTTCCAAATTTGGGCCTCCAGATGCCTATATTAGGATGGAGGATTACGTTATTCAGAATTTCATGGCTCTAGGTACCGTTGTTTTATACAGTGCGAGAAACATTCATACATTCTGCAGATTCCTCATTATTTAATTTCTTTAAATATAATAGAGTGCGATAATACTTGGTGGCAACGATTTGAAAAGTGAAACGCCATTTATCGTGAAACGCCACAAATGGCAAAACGAAATTAATAGCCCCTCTGGGCTAAAACTTATTTTAAAAGTATCACACTAGTAGTAGTACAACTACTGAAAAAAATATTATAATCTATTTTATAGTTTATAATTATTATTATTATTATTATTATTATTTTTAATTTTTATTTTAGTGTGAATTTCGCGTAATAATGAACGACAATTTTTGTGTTCACAGTATTATTCGTAAGGTATTCAACTGTTAGATTTTAAAGTAAACGTAATTCTTGCTGTACATAAATCGAGTAGAAGCTTATCGATTTCTATATTTGTATTAAATGAAGAAGGTTTATGTGCTTGATAAACTTATTATCTTCTACATTTTTTAAAGCGTACAATTGCAATTTATATCTATAATTTCAGGAATAGTATAACCTTTCTTTCAGTAGAAATTGCGTTCTTGTTTTTGAATGTGGCTCCAAATACTCTCTCAGTTCATCCCAAATTAAAATAACTATAAATTTTGGCAATCTGAAATACGCAATGAAAACATCTTTTGGCAGAGCAAAAGCATCAACATATTTTCTATAAACTCGCCATCGATTCAGAGATCTACGACCGTATTCTTCGTTTAAATATGAAAAAATCAGCGGCGAAAACACATACAAAGCCATTGTCTACTTAGTACGTCAACTGGACAACCTTGATTGACGACGCGGCAACACTTTTTCACGCGCTTTCGACAACTTCCGTACTCAGAGAATATAGGATGTTGGGCAGACCTGTTTTTTACTAGCAGCGACATCTGGCGGCCCACAATTTGCTGTCGACTCTCGTAGCGTAGAATAACCGTCCTGAAACAACACTCAGAATATAAATGGCGTAAGATAATACTCATTAATTCTCAAATACACATGGAAAGGAACTCAAAGCCCTTTTTCTAATTTTCTAAAAAAAAAAAAAAAAAAAAAAAAAAGCTCAAAACATAAATATAAAACAACCTCCAATGTTGCCACACGTAATTTTCTAAATTACATCGAACAAAGGTAATATTAGATAGATGTTAAAATTGACATTCTCTCACCCAAGTTAAAGTTTTTCCTTAAAAATTTAACTTACAAAAGAAAATTATAAATAGTTCCGAAGTTACAAAAGAAAATTATATATAGTCCATAAGTTATAAAAGAAAATTATAAATGGTTCATAAGTTACAAAAGAAAATTATAAATAGTTCCGAAGTTACAAAAGAAAATTATATATAGTTCATAAGTTATAAAAGAAAATTATAAATGGTTCATAAGTTATAAAAGAAAATTATAAATAGTTCATAAGTCCGGTCTTTGACACTTTGATTGTACGATCTGTACGATTGTACGATTTTTTTGAATCTGAGGTTCAGGTACACGTACGTCATCAGAGGCAAAATTTTCACAAATTTCGTCTCCAACCTTCTCGGTTGAAAGTTTCTCAATAATGGAATCATCGTTGGATACTTCAAGTGGGTACAATCTTTGAATTGGTCTTTGAAATTGTCCATTAGTTGCTTTAAGCTTAACTTGTTTTGTAATTCCATCTTTCCCTGGAAGGATCTGAATTATTCTGCCTAAAGGCCAATTGATTCGCTTGGTGTTATCAGTTCCCATCAATACAACGTCACCACCGTTCACTTTCACTAATTTTCTGTTTTCTAATTTTTGAATGAGTGGCCCTAGATATTCAGACGTAAGCCTGTTCCTTAAATTTCTATGCAGATTTTCTCTATATTTAACCCGCTTATTAAGACTTTTATGCCTAATGTGATCAAGATCTGGAATACCACTTATTTGACTCTTTTGTAGAAATAGAGATGGACTTGAAAGCATTAAAGTAGCATCATTCTCGGTTACAAATGTCAATAGACGAGAGTTAATCACTGCTTCACTGTCGCAGAGAATTGTGGTCATTTCTTCAGAAGTTAAGGAAGCTCTTCCTAGTACTGGTCTTAGCAATTTCTTAAAAATTCTTACCAATCTCTCCCACCAAACACCCCACTAGGAGGCAGCTGGTTGCTTGAACTTCCATTGAATTGGTAGTATAGACGTGTCATCAGTGATTTACTTCCAGTTTAGATATTGAAGTAAATTTGCAGCGCCAACAAAATTAGTTCCGTTGTCACAGTATATAATTCTACTCCGTCCTCTAGGAGCTATAAATCTTCTAAGAGCTAGTAAAAAACTCTCAGTAGACATTGATTCAACCATCTCTACATGGACTGACCTGTAAACATCGCAGGTGAATAAGCAGATCCAAGATTTCGTGTTGCCTCTCAAGATCATTGGTCCAGAGAAGTCAACCCCACAGATTTCGAATACAGCTTCTCCTCGTAGTCTGTCTTCTGGAGGAGGGGCAGTATAAGTTTCTAGGTTTATTGTATAAAATCACAGAGAATTGATTAATGAGAGTTATTACAGTTTTACGAGCATTCAGAATCTAAAATATCTCTCGTAGAATATTTATCAAAATTTGAGTACCCAGCGTGTGCATTTTTCTCGTCATAATATTGCACTAATTTCTTAACAACCTCATGATTGAATGGAAGAATAGCTGGCATTTTAAATTCTTTTGTATCGTCACGAAGTTACCCTTCGTTTAGTTTTCAGTCTGAGGATTCCACTTTTTTCCTTGAATACTCCTAAAGTTTTTAATTTCCCGTCCTTTTCATTTACAAAACAGTCTTCTTGAATCATTTTGATCATCAACTCCTCAGCCTCAAAAATTTCATCAGAATCAAGGTTTTCATTTTTTCTCTCAATTTGTTCAGATCGACAATTGTAGGCTAATCTTAGGATCCAGGCAATTAGATTAACTATCTTTTTGTATTTATAAAAATATCTGTAATACAAATCTCTCTTGGTTTCCAAATTGCAGAAACTAAACCTTTTGTTACAGATGAAACTATGCTCTTTTTCTTTCCTCTAACAATCTCCCTGTCATGTAAATTTATGTCACCTTTTGGACAGTCTTCTTCCGGCAAGTAAAGCCAACCTGGACCTAGCCGCCAGTTAGATTTCAACAAATTTTAAAGCTAATCGGGAGATTCATGCATCCAGGAATATGTCTCCAAGAATTTTTATTTGCAAGTCTTCTTATTTCTTCTACCCTGTTCTGGACAAAGACATACCAGGCTTCTTTCGTTATCCATGCTAAAATAGTGGAAGAATCAGTCCAGAAGTACACTTCTTCACTGTGTACCTCAGGTAAAATTGAGGAGTAAAAGTCGCGATGCTATAGTAGCTGCAAGTAACTCATATCTCGCGGTAGTGGTTTCTTCTTTACCAGTTGGTGCAACTCTACTCCTGGCTTGTATCAGTTGTACTTTAACAGAATCAAAAGTTTTTATTCAGATGAAAGCGATCATAGAAAATATATACTGAAGTATTTTCAGTTGTCTTCCTTGAACCCAAATATCTGGGGAAAACGGATCTTTTCTAGATAGGCAATATCTCTCAGCCATTTTAAAAATGCAGTTCTCGTACAGGTGTCAACTTCTTCATCCCATGTTATCTTCTGTTTTCACGTTTCTTGAAGCAATAATTTAGTAATAAGGATGACAGGACAGCATATATCAAGAGAATTCAACAATCTATGAACTGTAGATAAGATTAACCGCTTAGTTATTTTTTTAAAACATAACTCTTTTATGCTACCAGTATTTATTCGTAGAGTGTTAGATTGTTTATTCCATATTACATTCGTATTAACCAGAAGCATCATCATTAATATTATCGCGTAGATGAAGGGATCCTACAAATGAACAGGCAAGTACTCAAGTCTAAACTCAAGACTTTTTATTAACTCGAACTGAATGAAGAGATACTTATATACAGCTGATGAACATGCTGAAACATTCCAAACTGGAAATGTTCTGGAAGGAAATTTACATAAATAAGATAACATTAACAAGAAGGAAATTTACACAAATACCACTTATCAGGCATCTTGCCGTTAACGGGTTTCGAACCCGGAACCTTCGGGTTTCGAGTCCTGCTTCTTCTCCGCTAAGCTATGATGAGCTCGGTCGAAAAGAGCAATTTTCGCTACATTTCCCCCTTCTTAGGAAGAAGCAGCGTCCCGCTGCGATCTGGTCTGGCTTCCTGTAACAAGTCTTCTGGAAATATTGGGCTTTCTTTCATCGTCTAGTTGTAGTTTTGGATCAAGATAGGGCTTCAATCTCAAAACGTGAACGATGTCTTTTGAATTCCGTCGTTTCTTATTTTGTTCCATACTTTCTATTTCGTACGTCACGTCAGAGAGCTGTCGTGTGATTCGATACGGTCCAAAGTAACGTCTTAGGAGCTCTTCAGATAATGCAACCTTTCGTACTGGAGTGAAGACCCAGACAAAGTCTCCGATGTTGTAGCTGACAGATCGATGTCTCTCGTCGTATCGGCGCTTGTCTGTGGTTTGCGCTTTAAGAATATGGAGTTTTGCAAGCTGTTTAGCTTCTTCAGCTCTAGTGATCAAATGTTGCGCATAACTACCTTCGGAATCTTCGATACTGTATGGGAAAATTACGTCGAGAGGAGCCTGGATATCTCTGCCATAAATGAGAAAGAATGGGCTGAATCCAGTTGTGTCTTGTTTGGCTGAATTATAGGCATAGGTTACAAATGGTAGAATAGTATCCCAATTTTTCTGTTCAACGTCTACGTACATGGACAACATGTCTGCTAGTGTCTTATTGAATCTTTCAGTTAAGCCATTGGTCTGAGGGTGGTAAGCAGTCGTCAGAAGATGAGGCGTCTTGGATACATGAATTACTTCTTTAACAACGTTGGATAGGAAGTTGCGTCCTCGGTCATTTATCATTTCTTTGAGGGCACCATGCTTCAGGACAATTTCTTCAACTATAAACTTGACAATTTCGGCGCCCTCAGCTGTCGGTATTGCCTTTGTGACTGTAAATCTGGTAAGATAATCTGTGCAAACTATAATCCACTGGTTCCCATTTCGAGTAACAGGAAAGCGTCCAAGTAGATATATTCAAATTTTGGTAAACGGTGTGTCAGGGGGTTTTATCGGATGAAGCTGCCCTGGTAGACGTTGCGGCGGGGATTTCCGTGTTTGGCATTCTCGGCAGTGTGATACATACCGCCGTGTGCTTCCCATATAGCCCTGGCCAATGGTACATCCTCCTTATTCGGTCATGCGTTTTGGCAAATCCGAGATGGCTAGCGGTTGGAGCATAATGAAGACTTCTTAGAACCTCGCTACGAAGTTGCTTTGGTATCACCCGGGGCCATTGCTGTCCCATAGGATCATAGCTTCTTTTGTACAGTATACCATTTCTTATTTGATAATTTTGATATGTGTCACCTCTCTTGAGAGTTGTAACGATGGATCTTAATCGTTTGTCCTTCTGCTGTTCTTTTCCGTAATTTACGATCGCTGCAAAGAAAGGGATGTCTTCATTGTTCTCAATTATTGGTTTTATAAGAGGCTTCCTTGATGATGAATCTGCATCGGAGTGTTTGCGACCGCTCTTGTAGACAATATTTATGTTGTATTCTTGCAACCTGAGAGCCCACCGTGCAAGTCTTCCAGATGGATCCTTAACATTGGCCAGCCAACATAAAGAGTGGTGATCTGTGACTACCGTGAAGGGTTTTTTACGTAGAAGATAATGGCCTTGAATTTACTAACTGCCCAGATGATGGCAAGGCATTCTTTTTCGGTGGTGGAATAGTTCTTTTCAGCTGCAGTAAGGGACCTGGATGCATAGGCTATTGGTCTTTCTTTGCCATCCTGGATCTGAACCAGTACTGCAATGATGCCATAGCCGCTAGCGTCAGAATGTATCCTGGTTTCTGCATCTTGGTATAAAATGTCCCAAAACAGTGCCACTGGTCAGCAGTCTTTTGAGCGTTGCGAAAAGATTCAGTCTTGTAACACGTTTCCAAGAAAATTTTGCCTCTTTCTTCAACAAGTCATGCAAAGGCTCTTGCGAATATCTGCGAAAATTTTTGAATAAATCGTCGGTAGTAGGAGCACAAGACCCAGAAAACTTTGGACATCGGCGATATTTTCGTGGAACAGGGAACGTTGTTACAGCCTCTACCTTTTGTGGATCGGGATATATCCTATGTTGATCGAACTAAGTGTCCCAGTATAGTCAGCTTCTTTTTGCCGAATGAAACATTTCTTGGAATTTAGCGTCAGTTCCTGCTCTTTGGATACATTTCAGTATTTCCCTTAAACGCTTTTGATGTGTTATTCAAAATTAGGTGCATACACAAATTATGTCATCGAGGTAGCAAAGACAAATATTCCATTTGAGACCTCTTAGTACCAGTGTCCATCATCCGTTCAAATGTGGCTGGAGTATTGCATAATCCGAAACGGCATTGCTTTAAATTCATAGAGACCATCTGGAGTTACAAAAGCTGTCTTTGCTCTGTCTTTATCATCAACCTCTATTTGCCAGTAGCCTGACTTCAGATCCATCGCAGAGAAAATTTTTGCACCAGCCAGGCAGTCCAAAGCATCATCGATGCGAGGTAACGGATAGACGTCCTTTTTAGTTACCTTGTTCAATTTTCTGTAATCGACACAAAAACGCCATTCACCGTTTTCTTCTTCACAAACACGACTGGATATGAACATGGACTGTCTGATGGTTGTATCACATCTTCGTTAAGCATTCGTTGCACTTCGTCTGCGATCACACGCCTCTCAGTGGCTGACACAGGGTATGGCCTTTGTTCGATTGGTGCACTGTCACCTGTATCAATCTTATGCTTCACCGCATTGCATCGGGATTTTTTCGAAATACTGTTTAGTCAACTGACAAATACTGACAAGTCAAAAATGTCACTAAAGTCATCTAGTAGACTCAATAGCTTGTCTTTCTCAGCATTGGTCAAATCAGTATCGAAAATTTCTTTTATGTTTTCTTGAGATAACCTTTTCCTGGAACTATGTCCCTCGAAACCTTCTGGAGTCTGACCACTTAGGGAGCAAATAGCGTCGCTTTTTATGGTCGTTAAACAGCCTACATTCATCCCTTTAGGTATCAGTTGGGTTCATCGAGAACAATTAGTTACCTATAATTTATCACAACTATCCTCTATAGTGACAATTGAAGCTGGTATCGATAGTTCTTTTTCGCACATCAGAAATCTATTTCCAACAGTCATAGCTCCATCTATTTCCCTTAGTTCTGAATTCACGGCACATATTCGTTTTGCGGTGTTTGCTTCAATTACGTAATCGGTTGCGGCAAACAAGGAGGGCTCTGACTTATTTAAATATTCATTGTCTGGAAGGATTTCTGCAAGTGTAAGTTCTTGATTTCCACAATCGATAACGGCATCGGTGACACGGGAAAAGTTCCATCTAAATATCATTTGAAGACATTCAGGAAATACAAGGAATTCAAACGGCTTCTTAGTCCCATTCAAATCAACTTTTAATACACAGCGTCCCGAGGCGGCTACAGGTTTACCACAGGCAATTTTCAATACAGGTCCATTCTCAGCAAACATAGGAGCATTTAGCTGTCGACGTAACTCTTCGGATATGACAGAATAATCGGCACCCGAATCAACAAGGGCTCTCACACTCTGTCCGTTCACGGTGATAAAAGTGTTATTCTTTTTCAACTTGGCTGTGGTGTACGTCGGAGGATTTTCTTAAACTGCGGCCTCACCTCCTGTACAGGTCGCTTGAGCTAGTTTTCATCACTGATTCGGCGTGGGGAACGGCTGGAACGGCGTACTGGTGACTGCGGTTGTCGGCGGTTGAGAGAGCGTCGCGGATAAGGTGAACTGCTCCTTATTCGGGCAGAACTAGGTTGTGCATATTCATCGTCAAAGCTGTATGTAGATTCAGTAACCCTGTCCCGTCGAGGATTGGACGTCTTTGCGGCTCTTGCATTTTAAAATATCTGGTGTCTCTCCCTACAGTACCTTAGAACATGTCCAGGGCTTCCGCAATGAAAACAGAGAGGCACATTATCGTCAGATCTCCACAGATCTGTCCTACGTTGTGGAGCAGTTCGCTTGCTGGTTTCCCGTCTTGCCTCCGACCTAACTGGAAATAAACGTTTGGTAATGTTTTTGCTTCTCCCTGCTCCTGTGACTGGTGCCAGCGCCTCTATAAGCTCTTCCCGGACCACAGATGCTATGTCATTCGGTGCTACGGGTTCTATTTCCGTGTAGCTCTGAACTTGCGGTAGGATCTTCTCAATCTCTTCCCTGAAGAGAGCGCGCACTATAGACCTTAGTTCACCGGCGTCCGCATCGGACGACACCGCGAGACAATAGGCAGCCTCTGGAATCGTGATCGAGCGATACGTCTTCGTCGAAGACATTCTATGTGACGGTAGCGTTTCACGAAGGCATCGACGCTGTCATAGTCCTGGGACGACAGGACCTGGTACAAGTCTTCAACAATACTTTTCATGAGATGGGCCACTTTCTCGTCTTTAGACTTGAATGGGTTTGCTTTTCGGCAGAGAGCAGGAATATCCTGAATGTAAACTTCAGACGTCTCATCGATTTGCTGAGCACGTGTGAGTAGTATTCGTTCAGCTTGACGCTTTGCATCATCTGCTCGGAAAAAGGTGTTCTTAAGAGCAGTCCTGAAAACAGTCCAACTGGTAAATATGTCTTCATTATTATCAAGCCACTGTCGAGCGGTTCCGCCAAGGTGAAAAATGACGATCGCCAGACACATTTGATCATCCCAGTGGTTATAGTTTGCGATTCGATCCTTGAGCCATCTATTAGTATCTTTTTGGTTGTCCCCGTTGAATATACACGGGCTTCTGGGTAGATGGTACATCAGGATCGGTATTGGTGCGATATTACTCGAAGCGGAACTAGCTGCTGCTGGAGGATTCTGCTCGGCTATCTTCTCATCAACCATCTTCCTCGATCTTTTATGCGAATCCTGTAAGAGCCCAAACTCAGGAGGAAGTCCTCGAATCTGCAGGCTTCGGCGTAACTCTGCCGTAGTAGCTGAGTGATACCCGGCGCCTCCACCAAACTGTCACGTAGATGAAGGGATCCTACAAATGAACAGGCAAGTACTCAAGTCTAAACTCAAGACTTTTTATTAACTCGAACTGAATGAAGAGATACTTATATGCAGCTGGTGAACATGCTGGAACATTCCAAACTGGAAATGTTCTGGAAGGAAATTTACATAAATAAGATAACATTAACAAGAAGGAAATTTACATAAATACCAATTATCAGGCATCTTGCCGTTGATGGGTTGCGAACCCGGAACCTTTGGGTTTCGAGTCTTGCGTCTTCTCCGCTAAGCTATGAGGAACTCGGTCGAGAAGAGCAATTTTCGCTACAATATCATTGAACTCCCACCGTCTAAGTACAAATTTTCTTTCAGCCATTACGTGAGTTGATACATTCATAAAAAGATTGAGTTCGTTTGCGTTTCAGACACAACTGACACAGTTGTCAACACAAAAATTATGTATACGTTTTTGAATGTTACTTTTTGGATATGAGGATTTACCAGTTTGTAGTTTCTCTAAAACAATTTGTGAAGCTAAATAGTAGAGCTTAGAAGAAAAGAGCTGCTTGCTACACCAAAACGTACACGACAGTGCCTGTACTCTTTCAGATGACCATTACCCTATCAAGCCATAAGAACCTCAAAAAATCTCTATCACTGGGTGAAAGACTTATTTGTAGAAAGCATCTTCGTATATCAGCAATAACGCCTGTCTCTTTTCGAAATCATGTTAAAATACTTGGAATCTGCTCTATTAGATTTAGACCTTTTTCTAATCAGCCATTAAGACTAGGAAACCCCTTTATTTTGGCCGAAGCATCAAATACCGG